CACCCACACCCCACACCCTTTCTACCACATAAATTTTCATAAATCGATGACCAAATTCAAAAGCATTTTCATCATTCGGTAAAATATATAGATGTAATCGATAAAGAAAATTCCATCGATTATCATTAGTAATTAGTATTACTGTTTTCTTTATGAAAACTTTCAATTTGTTTTTGAATTTATTTTAATGAAATAATTTTAATCTTGTTATTATACTGTTATACTGTATAAAAATTTGACCGATTATTAACTGACATATGGCTATATGCAGTGTTTTATATCAGTCATTTACCAAAGGAATAAATAACAACTAAGTATATATTATCCAAGATTTGTCCTTCAAAGTTGCACACATCATCTGAAACCATATTTTTAAAGAATAATGAGTGTGAAAGCAGATAAATTTCCATAATAGTTCTCCTTTTCTGTATTTTAAGTAACACGAATAAAGTTTTTCAAATAAATGAAGAGCATCATTATTTTTTTCATCTAATTATTTCGAATAAATATTTATTTTATAATTCTAGAATAAAAATATATTTCTCTAGACAAAAATAGTGTCACTTGATATTTCCGATATATCATCACTATAATTCAACATTTAAAGAAAAGTAATTAAATATTCGGATAAGCCCGTGGAATTTTCTACAACTCTATGTGTGTACACTTTGAATTGCACTGGTTCGATAAAAATAAATTGAAGCACAGTATAGGCATGCGCATCGTCAGATTCCCCGAAAATGCATTTTTAACTCCTTCTTCATTCATATTTTTAAGTTTGTTTTGAATATTGGAACAAGTTATTAAGAAAGGACGTATATATTCTGAAAACACGTGAAAATCTCTATGATTTTGTACTATTATCAGTCGAGAATTGGAATTATTTGATAACAAATACTTCAAGTATTGGTAATGTACCCATGCATCATGTGGCTAGGTCAGATATTGTTGAAAATTTAGATTATATCTTTTCGCAAAGTAATTCATCATAGATTAATCGATCGTAGTAGCGTTAAGATCAGGGCTGACAAGGAAATAATTATCCATACATCTTATTCGATTACTGTATAACCATTCATTGATAGCTGTATGAGAGTTCATGTGTAGTAATCGAGTGTTTGTGTCATAGTGAGGATACATAAACAATGCTTGACGTATTTGTTATCAAATAATTTCAATTCACTACTAGCAATAGTACAGGATGATAGAGATTTTCACGTGTTTTCATAATATATGCCTGCTTTTTTAATGACCTATTCCCATATTCAAAATAAAATTAAAAATATCAATGAAGGAGTTAAAAATGCATTTCCGGGGAATCCGACGATGACGATGCCTTTACTGTGCTTCAATTTATTTTTATTGAACAAGTGCAATTCGAAATGTACATGCATAGAGTTGTAGAAAACTCCACGGGCTATCGGAATATATAATTCAAGTAAGAGATTCGATACTAATGAAAAATATTTCTCTTGAATATCGAACTCTTAGTAATATTGTTAGAGGCGCATCTATTTGACCATAAGACCATGATCAATAAAAATATGAATATGTATTAATTTTTTCTCGTTCTTGTTAGCAAATGATGAGAGTAATACCTTGAATAATACTGACTATCAATGTGTTTGTTTTTCACCAAATTCGAATACAATATCAGCGTTACTTTATTTATTGACTAATCAAAAAACAAGCGCAAGGCCATTTTTTTCTTTTTTTCGTTCGTTATGACGATATAAATAAGTGGGGCTTTCTTCTTTTTTATATTATTATAAAGCGTGACACATAAACACCAATAATAAAATGGCTTCTTTTGATGATTTGTCCAGTCTCGATGATGGTGCGAAAGCTCATGAAGCTATTTATGGACAACAGCCTCGTCATCATTCATCATGGACACATGAACTTCTTGCTGGTGGAGCTGGTTTTGCCGGTAGTATTCATTTTATTCTCATTTTAACTGAAGCTAATTAAAAGTTTTTATTATTCTTTTTTACTTCACAATTTTTGATGAAGAGTTGAGATATAAAATATTCGAGAGTTTATCGATTTCTAAGTGGTTAAAATCAAAGCAAAGAAAAAAGAAAGAAATTCTATATTCATAAGAAAATTTTTCACATAATTTCATCGTAATTATTTTGTTTTATGTAGCTATGAAAGCCTACGAAGAGTATGTTCGTAGTACTGGCAAACAATTATCAAATGCAGAGATGAAAGAGATGCTTGCCAGTTTAGCAGCAGCCGAGATTGACAAACTTTTTGAAGATTATGGAATTGACTTTCTCGATAAGGAAGCGGCAAAAGCTCGTTCTGTTGCGCAAGCACATAAACATGCTCACGAAAAATATGGATCGGATGGCGTATTTTGCGCGGAATAAAATTAATACAAAGAACAACATCGTCATTATCACAATGAACAATAAATCAAATTTGATTTCTATTCTTTTGCGTTTTCAGTAATAATATATAATTCAAAATGAACAAAAAATTTCTTCTATTTCATTTTGAATCATATTTGATCATTCTATATATTCTTCTACATCTCTTTTCACCTACAATCATTGTTAGCTAAATATCATTGAAAAAAAAATTAATAAAATCAATAGAATCTATTTAACAAAAAAATAATTTTTGTGCAAGAATAATAAACAGCCTCACTCTGTTTAACTTTGAAAAAAAAGAGCATTTTTTGTCAAACATAGAAAGTATTTTGAGAAAGATTACACTATTTTGTTTATAATTAAAATCAAATAACATATGTTTGTTACTTTTTTTTTCTTCTATTATGTACGAGAACCTGATAATAAATATGCGGCAATCGGTAACAACAAAAAATAACGTTCACATAAAACATTGTACGAACACTATTCTTTTCATGTTTCTATATTATGTTAAAGGACAAATTCGTCCGTTTATCTAGTCAATTTAGAAATCGAGCTATACCTTCATTTCATGACGTATAATAACGATATCCAAATCTCGCTCTTCATAGGACCATTAATCTCGTCTCATCTGTGTCTACACAAAAGGAATGATTGTCATTGAATAAAAATTATGCTTGACACGTATACACTAAAGATTAATCATAAGTGCTGAAGACAGCATTTACTCTAGAATTATTCGATGTATAACAGTACTTTTTTTCCCGCCTAATCAAGAATACAGCTGGTGAGAGATCGCACATTTTCTTTTACATTTTCAATCTTAATACGATCTATCAAAACATCGAATGGTCAATTCGATAAATTATATGGAGAAACTGGATGAGGTATGATGATTCATTTAAAACAAGGCAAAAAAATAGTGTAAAATGTCAAATTTACCTTGATCATGGTTCTTATCGATCAATGCACACTATATGTTATAAATAAAAGTACTCATTCAATCAAACACATATTTCTCTTGTTGAAAACAGTTTTTCATTAGTCATAGTTTGTTTTTATTGAGCTATTTCACATATGCAATAAAGAACAAATCCTGCACTTTTTTTCTTAGTTTATTGTTGTTCGATCCACATCGGATCGGCATGGCCGCGCATCGGTCACCCTACCATGAGGAAGGTTTATACGCACTAAAAATAAAGAAAACTCTCTCGAAATCCAAAATTTCACTACTAATAGATTATGAAACACGTTGCAACTTCTGAGATACGTTGTTGATTGGTTATATAAACCGTATTTTTCCTCCAATAAGTGTCTGAAAACGGATTTTTTGACGAATTTCACCAAAAAACTATCCGTTCTGAGTCCCATTATATTTCATTTTTTGTCCAAAAAAACAGGCAGAATTTTAATGTCATTCTGCTTTGAACGTGAAGCTGATATTCTCACGCGATAGAACTATCTCAGTACTATTCGCGGATACGAGAAATGATGGGTTTTCATCATGATAATTAAAAGCCGTAAGGTCCCTAACCGTCCCCATTAGAAAGTCAAAAAATAATGAAATTCCGTAACGAAGTGAAATTCCATAACGGACAGTATTTACAGCTATTTGATTTGGTACAGTTATACTTTCTAGGAGATGAATCGATATTTTGAAAGCTCATGGGAAACTGAATAACTTTTATATAGAGTATTTATTTGTATGTCGTTTCGTTACGTAGTAAAATGCTTAACTTCTGCATCACCCTAAAAAAAATTTCCATTTTATGAAATTCTGTAACGGTCAGTATTTGTTGAATAACTCAACTATGACTAGACAGAAATAGATAAAGTTTTTACTGATAATAGATCTCAGCCATCTCTATCTATGATAAAAATTTTAGCAAGTTTGCCTTGATTTTTGAGAAGCTACAGGTGTCACAATATGAAAAAATGAAATTCCGTAACGCGCGGCCACGCCCATGTGTTTTTGTTGTTTAAATAGTGTATGAAACGATTTGATTTTCTTCATCTAAACATATTGCCTAATACGATAAAGACAATGCACAGTATTCGAAATTTAGATTAGAAGAATATTTTTTATTTTCTTGTTTTATTCAACAAAAAAAAAATATAATCGCATATGAAGTACATTTAACAATTGAAAACATCTGTATACATCAAGTATACTATTGGGACCGATGAGACAATAACCGTCAGATATAAGGTACGCCCTTTCATGACAGGATATTGCTTAATCACAGTTTTAGATGTACGTAAGATCAATTTCATTGATTGTAGCATATTGTTTCATTTATAGAACCATATGGTTGGCGCTACCAAAAATTTTTCTATCCATATATTAAAAATTTTCGAAAAATTTTCGTCGAATAAATGAATGAAGTATTGCTTAATTCGTTCCCTGGATTCTATCAAGACTAAGACTCCTGAAGCATGGAAGAAAAATATGCAGGATCTATAAATCGGGTAGAATCTCTTATAGTTCACATGGACTACATTATATCTTCATTTAAATAAAGTTGTCAATACTTCACTTGAAATCTTGAAATATTCAATCTGTGATTCTTTACGAAATATACAAATTAAATCGAGGCATGTACAAAAGTATAGTAAAAGTCAATACATCAAAACTTACCATGATAAGCAATAAAAAATTATTCGATAGATTTTAGATAAACATTTACTTGATTTGAATAGTAGTAAATTAGAGATCACTCGATAGATATCGGTCAAAAATCTTTTAGCATATCGCCAATAGAAATAATGAATTAGAAGATGCATATAAGAATTATAAGACTAAGAAGTCATTTTAATTGATCTAATTTGATTAGAAAGAACTTTGATATAGAATAATAGACAAGATAGCTTTTGAATGTCAAAGTTAAAGATATCAATAAGCGTTAAAATGAGTACGAAGATTTGGCAATGTTCAGGAAGAGAACAAAAAGCAAAAGAACAAACTTTTTAGTTAATTTTTCATATTCAATTCGATGAATTACGTAAGATAGTATTCTATTGTAAATATTCCATGCACACCTAAGCTGCCAATAGGTCGTTTTCAGCCTCGTCTGGTCTGTAGGTTTTGGGAAGACAAGAAAGGCATAGACCTATTGAATATCTGTAGACACAGAAAAAAAGAAATGAAATATTGCAACTACGAATGAGAAAATGTAATGCACAACACTACAAAGTTTTTATTAATCTTTGGTCTTTCACATTTCATGCAGCGTATCAAAAGCTTCACAGGTCTATATTCAAGTAAGAAAAAAAGCAAGTGAGAACATCTAACAAGATTAGTCTGAAATATCTATACTACCTCTTAGATGTAGTCTGAAGCGTGTTTTACATACCTCTCCAGATCACTGTGCTTCTAACAAATGTTCTTCAACTATGCCTGGAATAGTCCAAAACGTGCTGACCTCTATCATGTCTAGTTCGTTTTCTCAATTTATTCCGTTCAGAGTAGTCAGTACAATAGTAAAGAGAGAGAGAAAAGAGAGGTTTAGGCATATAATCTAACAGTACTCAACTTTTGAGGCTCCTTCTGATGTCAGGTTAAATGGCATAGTAGCACTTGTTCATTAAATATATAATTGAAGCTAACTGAAGAAAAACGAATTGACCAATGTGGAATGTCATCCATGAGGATGAGGAGTAGTCTGATGTGTGATTAGTGTTGATCATAAATAATCTATTTTTTTGAGAAAGTGCTGTCTATTCTAGTCTAAACTGGTCTAATATCTTATGGCGACTATTCTATTGCAACTTGATTATTCAGACAAATGCTTTAGATTGATTCGTATAGAAGCCAAAAAAGCCATTGAACACCGTAATAAAGGGTATGGATGTGAATGAATACAAGATCCACATTCACAACCACATTCATGTATCAAAATCTTTTCACTCGAACATAAAATAAGCATGAACCAACTGGAACAAAATAAAAGAATTTTTTCCATTATTATCGGAAGGATTGACTGTACATTATAATAAAAGAAGTGCAATTCATTTTTCCGTTGTCATTCTTAGTTATTCTTTTTTTTTGATTTCTTTATTAATAAAAACGGAAAAACAAAGACACGTTAATAGAGTCGTTGTTCATATAAAGCATCTATTTTTGATGCTGAATCAAATATTAACGAAGGATCATATTCTAATAATTTGCTAAGTACAGGAAGTTCTTGTTCAAAAACGTCTTGATTTCGTAATGCTTTCTCTTGCAATTGTTCTGATGGTACTAAGTTACCCAATTGAATACTAATTTGGTTAAAATATTGACATTTACGTATGTGATCAATAAACATTTCTTCTCGTGCTCTGAAACGTCTTGTTGCATCATCGTCAACATCACTAGTTCGAAAATCACTGATTGATTTGATATTATCTTGGATTAATACCAAAATAATTTTTTCTACGTAAGCTTTCATTAATCGATTACCCAATTCAAAAGCATTTTCATGATTTGGTAAAACAAATGGATGTGGTCGATGACGAAAATAAACTGGACGAAAATTTCGTTGATGATCATAGATAATTAGTGCTGCTGTATTATTATATATATCACAGTAATTTGGAGCTGAAAAAAAGACTAATAAGAACAGGAAGGGTGTGGGTATGTGGGGTGTGGGTGTGGGTGTGGATGGGTGTGAGGTGTGGGTGTGGGTATGGGGTGGGGTGTGGATGGATGTGGGTGTGAGGGTGTGGGGTGGGTGTGGGTGTGCGTGTGAGTGTGTGTGGATGGGTGTGCGTATGCGTGTGGATGTGGGTGCGG